GGGCTGCTCCCCGCGCTGCCAGCGCTCCTGGCTGGGCTGCGCCCCTCGCTTGCGCTTTCCTGGATGGAGGGGCTTCCCTGTTGCGGGGCGAGCAGCCAGCCCAGGCGCGGGGCTTGATATCTCGCCTTGTCCACTGTCTGTAGGCTGTGGACCAGCGATTGTCATTAAACTCCCAGTTCTTTAGATTTCCCCCCAAAGTGAGTCCAAACTGCAGCCAGACACTGAAGAAAACTTAACAGAGTGACGTAAGTTGTTTGCTCAAGTTTGGACGTGAGTTCTGAATTAATAATTCGAAACTATCCACAAGTTCCCAGAGTTGTGACTTTGCAGGGTGGATGACAGCAGAGAGAGAGATGTACAGCAAGAATATCCAAAAACGTTTCAAAACGTTTTCCAACTAATTGTTATTGTGACGCTAGTTAGAGGGGGCAGAGACGAATTTATTTTTGTTTTTGTTTGTTTAATTACTTAAATTTAAAATTGGTAATTTACCCTGTGTTAATTTTTTTTAATTGACATGATCAGATTTTATTTTTATTTTTGTTTTTGGTACTGGGGATTAAACTTGGGAGCACTCAACCACTGAGATACATCCCCCACCCTATTTTGTATTTTATTTAGAGATAGGGTCTCACTGAATTGCTTATTGCCTTGCAGTTGCTGAGGCTGGCTTTGAACTTGATCTTCCTGTCTCAGCCTCCTGAGCTGCTGGGGTTATAGGCATATGCCACAGTGCCCAGCTAGTTTGTTTATTTTTTGAACAAAATAGATAGCTCCTGCTATCTATCTCTTTCAAAGTTTTTATTTCTTGAGTCGTTTCTATAATTATGCGTTAAAACACACACCTTTTCACTGTTAAATGAATGGATCACCTTTGAAAGAGGGTAATTGAAAATAAAGTTTAGGCATGCTGCTGTAGCATAGATCGTTGTTGAAGAAATGAGTTTGGGGCTTGTGGAGAGAAGTGAGACTAATTTCATGTAAATCGAGTAGACTTGATATAGTTATTGCTAGAGAAGAGACCAACTTGTTTGTGAAATGGTGGTGTTTACACCTACTTGCCGGTGTTAGGGTGGATTTAAAGAGATGGTGTGCACACAGTGTTTTGGAGTATCTTTCTTTGCAACACTTAAACGCTACAAAGAAGATAGTTTGTATTAATATTGCTTAGTTTTTCCCAAGTTTTGAACTTCCAGAATTTTACCTGCCCTGCTACTAGTATGTACGTAAAGAATTTGGGATAGAGTAAGTTACTCAAGTTCTATTTGAACTTCTGTTCAAACATAAATACTCTAAATTGAAGAGGCCAAGAGGAAGCCGTCTGGCCCACTCTTAAGCTTTAGCCAACATTTCTGATGTGCATCTATGCTACTATTATAAAGTTAGGCTAATGGGCGCGTTTTCAGTACGACCCTTGGTCGAGCAAACAAACGTGAAGTTGGAACCAGATCACAAATGGATCACATTCACCTAACTACACTGGCAGTTTGGACTTCTATTACCTAGAATCCAGTCTGTGAAGTAACCAAGATTCTCATAGATAGCTTGCCTTTTTCCACCTCAAAGTTAACATCATAGCTAGATTTTATTAGGGCCAAAAGTCCAGAAAATGCATTTGTTGTGTGAAAGTGAGGAGTTTTTTTTGGTAAATAAATAATATTAAGGCTAGAAAAAGTCAAAGTGAAGCTAGAATATGGAAGTTAGAATACATATGACTTATTGAAAAGAAGGCCTACCTCTTTAATGGTGATATTTTTATCACAATTTATAGTTAGTTTTCATTGACCATCCTTCTTGGGTAAAATTAATAAAATTGTGATGATTGGTAGTTCATAAAACTTCAGAGGTAAGTGGTCTGCCCAGAGTCAAATATCTGGGAAGTGGTAAAGACAGAACTAGATAAAGCCTAATTCTTTTTCATGTCCTGCACTTTTCCATTTTGCTATAGATGCCTAAATGTTATTTATTTATTTTGGTAAGACGGCGGGGGGTGGGTGGGTGGGTGTTGAACTCAGGGGCACTAGGCCACTGAGCCACATCCCCAGCCCTATTTAGAGACAGGGTCTCACTGAGTTGCTTAGTGCCTAGCTTTTGCTGAGGCTGGCTTTGAACACACAATCCTCCTGCGTCAGTCTCCTGAACTGCTGGGATTACAGGCGTGCACCACTGCGCCCAGCTAGATCCCTAAGTGTTATAAAACAATTGTTACTTTGGTTATTATGGAGTTTTTTAAAATGGGATTTTAAAATAGTTTTGAACTATAAACATTACTTAAAGGTGTTTAAAAGAGATCCCTTCCCCCAAAATACTTATGATTAGTTTAAAATTTAGGGTTTTTTTTTTAAATGAGGCCATTATTTCCTTTGTCTGTTATCATCCAATTTCCATCAAACCACCTTTAGGTCTAAGACATTCTTGCCTTTAGATTAACATTTATGATGCTTAGCTGTTTTGTTTATAAAAACAGGAATTTTATATACTTTAGTCACATGTCTGTTATCTTTAATAAGGCATTTGACAAAGTCTAGAAATAGCAAAAACTATAGTGTTGGTTGTTAAATTATTATCAAAGTAGGAGTCGTGGCATTCCTTGTCCTAGTTATCATTTTAGTCAGTGAATTGCATAGTATTAAAGATGATAAAAGCTAATATCTATGTAGCAGTTGGTATGTGCTGGGCATAGTTCTGTGTACTTCGCATTTGTTAATTTTTAACCAACCTTATGAAGTGAGTGCTATTTTTTATTCCCATTTAATAAAGCGCAGAGAGGTGAAGTGAGTTCTCCAAGGTCCCAGTTAGTACAGACTTGAGCACATACATGTCTGTTGTTGGAAAGCCTAACAGAACAATTAGAACTCACAAAGGAAAATGAAATTTTATTTATGTCATTTAATGATTCATGATAGCTTGAATCATTGGAACCCTAAATGATAACCTGGTTTCATTTAGAGGAAAGTTTAGAAGGGTAGAAGTTGCAGATGTCTGACTGTCACCATAACCTAGCATTAGAACCCTAAAGGTAGTGTTCAAATCATGTTCAAAAAATGCATGTTCAAAATTAGAAAATCATATAAATGTGAAGAAAGATGAGAAAAGGGGTAGTAAACTAAATAAGATGGAGACTGGAATAAGAGTACTGAAATAAGATTACTGAATAGCTAACATGAAAGAAACCAATTAGGGAGACCATGAAGTTGAACTTGTTGTTTGAACCAAAACAGAACTGACAAATGATAACTTGTCACGCATTCTCTTGGAGAAGAGACTATAAGCTGAACAACATCTTTGTAATAAAAGTGATTGAATTCATAAGTCTAGTTCTTATAACTTTCCTGAAGTCCTTTTCAGTAGAAGTAATTCTAATAGCTGGTGTTAACAGTGTGGCTTGATCCAAGTTCAGGACACTGATAACCTGGTTTCATTTAGAGGAAAGTTTAGAAGAGTAGAAGTTGCAGATGTCTGACAGTCACCATAACTGAGTTTTTGAAATGGAGCAGGGATGTGTTGGAGATTATTCCTCAGCTGTTGCTTAGAATACAGCACGCACAGTTCTTTGTTTTCCATTCATTAGAGATACTTCATTCATCAAATATGTATGCCTACAGGGTACCTGTGGAAATCAAGGTCTTGAAAGAATAGTGACCTATCACATGCATGCCTCCCTACACAGCTGTGTAGCCTGGAGGAGGACTTAGTCAATTAGAAGAAGTAGTTCTAACAGACTGTCCATACTCTGACTGGTAAATCTGAGGTTCCACAGAGGCATGGAGCAGTACCCTAGATGTGTAGGGGACAGGGAAGATTCAGCTGAGTGACATCTAGCATTGGAATCCTAAAGGTAGCGTTCAGTTCATCAGACTTATCAGCACTTTTTTCTAGAAATATTCTGGTTAGTGGGTAAGGTAAGGAAGGATGGGAAAGGGGTAATTCTAACTCTTAAGGGAGGATGAGTTTGTTTTAATTGTTTGTTTAATTACTTAAATTTAAAATTGGTAATTTACCCTGTGTTAATTTTTTTTAATTGACATGATCAGATTTTATTTTTATTTTTGTTTTTGGTACTGGGGATTAAACTTGGGAGCACTCAACCACTGAGATACATCCCCCACCCTATTTTGTATTTTATTTAGAGATAGGGTCTCACTGAATTGCTTATTGCCTTGCAGTTGCTGAGGCTGGCTTTGAACTTGATCTTCCTGTCTCAGCCTCCTGAGCTGCTGGGGTTATAGGCATATGCCACAGTGCCCAGCTAGTTTGTTTATTTTTTGAACAAAATTTATTGAGGGTCTGCCATGTGCCAGGACCTCTGTTCTAGTCACATAAGATACATCAGAGAACAAAACAAAGATCTTTTGCTTTCCTGGAACTTAGATCATTTTGTTATAGTATTGTAAGTGTGAAGGATGAATAAGAAATATCCATGGGAAAGAAGCTTGGAATAGTCATGAGAACAGCAAAGCTTCAGGGGTACTTTGGACATCTGTGAAAAGTGAGGAGCCTGAACGAGACTGGAACTTGACTAGAAGGCCACCGTCTCTTCCCAGTATGGACCCAAAGGGAGTATATGAGGCTACTTAGAAAATAATTTTGAATGTATTCCGACACAAACACAAAATGCCATACTTTATTTCTTAAGATAGTGACCACAATTTTTTTAGAAACATGGCTTTTTAAATTTTTTATCTTTATTTTATTTATTTATTTTTATGTGGTGGTTCCGATCGAACCCAGGGCCTCACTCATGCTAGACGAGTGCTCTACCACTGAGCCACAACCCCAGCCCCAGTGACCACAGTTTCAATGGAATATATATAAATATAATTATATATCAAAGATAGCCTGGTGTGGTGGCACATGCTGTAATCTTAGTTTTTTGGGAGGCTGAGGCAGAAGGATTGCAAGTTTGAGCCAGCCTAGACAACTTAACAAATTCCCAGCAACTTAGTGAGACCCTAAGCTGAGCATGGTGGTGCACACCTACAATTTTAGCAACTCAGGAGGCTGATGCAGGAGGATTGCAAGTTTAAGGTTAGCCTTAGCTCCTGTCTCAAAATTTAAAATAAAAAAATAAAAGGACTGGGGATATAGCTCATTGATAGGTTGTCCCTGGATTCAGTTCCCAATACCATACACACACACACACACACACACACACACACACATAGCAAAAACCCAGAGGGCTACAGTGTAGCTCTGTATGCTAGAGCACTTGCCTAGCGAACAGAAGTCTCTGGGTTCTATTCCAGCACTGAGTTATTAAAAATCAAACTGATAATAAACCTTCAAACCAGATTATCCATATCATATGTTGCGTGAAGTAGTATAATATCTGGGGGTGCCTTTCACATTAAACTCATTATCAAAGTGCATTTAAGTAATGAGCATGCAGAGAATCGTAGAATGTAATTGTCAGTAATGAATCAGTTAAGGAAAAATTATCTACTAAAAACCGCTTGCTTTCATTTTAGAAGAGTTGATAGGTCTTTTTTCTGACAGTAATTAGATAGTAGGACCAGTTATTTTTTTAAAGTGCTCTTCTGGATTTTGATGCTAAATGCAAACCATGTTCAAAGAAAAAAATGTGTAGCTTCCTGTAGGATGATATTATCTCAATAATGTGGCAAGAACATCCTGCTTTATTTTCTACAGAAATGTTTCTAATTGATTGATTTTGGTTGAAACTGAATTGTTCAGTATTTGACAAATGACTATGGACTTCATGTTAGGAACAACAGGAGGTTCTATGACACACCTAACCCATAGCCAACTTGGTAACACTTACTAGTAATAATGTGAAGTCTTGCGTAGCCCAAAAGAGCTGTTCAGGTGTAGACTGTGAGAGAACAAGAGTAGTCCAAGAGTTCAGCGATTTCAATATAAATTAGTATTATGACGGAACTCCTGAGGAACTCCTACAGTATTCTAGGGACTCTTTCTTTTGGGTCAGTGTCAAGATTGAGGATGAGGTGTCTATTCTGTTCATGAGTTACTTGGTTCTGGAGACCATATTTGGAGAGGAAACATTGAAATACTGAGGCAGGAAATGAGGACAAGTACATGAAATACTGAGGCAGGAAATGAGGACAAGTACGATGCTGAAAAGCCTGAGAACACTTCAGTGTGGAAGGAGGTGGAGAAAGACTCAGAGGAACAAGAAAGGCCCTTCAGCTATTTGATGGGCATCACTGAAGAGGGTAAGTAGTAGGCCTTTGCTCCAGACAGCAGGTCTAGGATAAGGGCGGAAACTGCAGAAGACACACTTCATTTCTGGAGTGAGATGGGAAGCCCTTGAACTGTTAGGTACAAAGGAGTGATGCAGTCTGTCCTGTTTTGAGAGGGTTACTATGGCTGCTTGGTTGAGTGTAGAAAGGCAGGAGTGAAAGAGGAAGACCAGTTAGGGGGCTCTTATAATAATTTGGGCAAGAACTGATAATTACCTAAGTAACATGGAAGATGGTAAGAGGCTGGGCTCCAAACACTAGGCAGTAGAGCCTACACAACTTTCTTGTTGGAGATAGAAGGTGAGAGTGGAAGATCAGGAATGATTCTAAGGTTCTGCAGCTTATTCTGGTTTATACAACTGGAAGATTTTGAATTGCCAGCAGCTACAACGGAGGAATGGAGATGAAGTCTTGGGGTGGGGGGTGTTAAAGATGAAGAATTGAGTTTTGGGTAATAAACTTTGAGCCATCTGTTAACATCCAAGTAGAGATGTTGAATAATAGTTGCAAGTCCAGGCCTGAGAGAGAAATTTGGAAATCATCAGTGTTGACCCATAGTTAAGCAGTGGATCAGTAGGTGTGGTGCTGTGTGTATGTGTGTGCGTATACACACACACATATATATGTATATAAGAGACATTTTTTTTTTTATTTTTTCACCTGAAGTAGGCAGCTAGATAGATAATCTGCTGAGAGAGGATGGGAGAGGAGGTGTTGAGAATTTGAGTTGATATGCGTTTCTCTGGTCAAGTTCAGCTATCCTGGCAGAGGCATAGAGTCAACAGACAGGTTTCACCAGGACTGGGATTTTTCCAGGTGACCATGATGAAGGGAGGGAGAAGAGTGATTCTGTAATGATAGGCCGTATTTAAGGTGGTCAAGGAGTGGGGCACATGAAGGGAGTAAAGACCAAGGATAACAAGGAGATCAGTGCTTGTAGGTTCCTGTAGGATGGGTGAATTTTATGCTGGAGGGACTAAACTAGGAAGCTAGGAGGTGCTTGAAAAATTGTGGAGAATTTGTAGTTACTGATGATAGGATTTGAGACAAGACTGTGGAATTAGAGCTAGAGAAGGATGAAGGACAGAATCATTGCAGAGGAGTTCAAAGAAGTGAGAGGTATTTGTGTGATTTTTTTCAACAAATAGTAAAGTTTTTTCCATATGGCATTGTTTAGAACTTAGAAGTGGTCAGGAAGGAGGATCAAAGCTGTCCATGTAGTACTTAATTACATTTTTCTGTACCTCTGTCCTAACGCCAATAACCAAATTTACACATTTAGGTCCATATCATGAGCATTCTCGAGGCTAATCTTTCTTCTTAATGCAGTGACCACGGGCCTTTCAGAGATGAATGCATTCTTGGATGATCCAGAATTTGCCGATATTATATTGAGAGCAGAACAAGCAATAGAATTGGGAGTTTTTCCACAAAGAATTTCTCAAGGCTCAAGTGGAAGTTACTTTGTAAAGGATCCTAAGAAGGTGAGAATTTCACAGACCTACTATATACTAAGAAAATTTTGGAAAACACTAACTTAAATCTGAAGTCATTGTGAATTTCTGAAGATATTAATTTCGATTGCACTCTCTTTTCTGAAATAAAGCACAATTTTTTTGTTATTATTTTTTACTAAAGCACCCTCATCTATAGAAATAGAGCTTATTGTTGTTAAGTTATAGAGTGCTATTCTGACAGCTTCTATTTGGTTTCAAGCAATTACTGAATACCCTGTTCACTTGGAGATTCGTTGAGCATATGTCAATAAGTCCTCACCTTAAAATAGTCTATTACCATACTTGCCAAGCAGAGTAGAAATTGAAACTTTCACAACTTGTCTAATGTCATTTCCAATGCTTGTTTTTTTTTTCAAGGCTATATTTTTCTCTAGATATATTTTTTCTGGCATTGTGCCAAGGGAAGGAGGTTGGGTAACCTGAAGTGTGAAGTCATTGAAATGCACAAAAGTGAAATGAATAAATGATTCTGGAGCAGAAAAAAGAAATTTCTATGGTAATTTCTTCCATTTAGTCTAGAATTTTTCAAAAATTGATCTCATCTTTTCTAAAAGCCTTCTGATGCACAACCAGCAAGTCCTCTTTTGAGAGATAAGAAAGTTCACAATTTTACCCCCTTTTTTCAAAGATTAAAGTTATATTTTCAACGTAATTTTAAAGCATAGTCCTCCTTTGAGATGTTAAGATAGTTGTAGGTACCTGGGCACAAGGCAAAAGGGCATATGCCTGTAGTCCCAGCTACTCAGAAGTCCGAGGCAGGAGGATCACTTGAGCCCAGGAGTTTGGGGCCACCAGTCTTTGCAACATAGCAAAGTCCTTTCCCTTAAAAGTTAAGATAAAAAATATATATGTATTTATTATATATATATATATATATATATATATATATGTTGTATCAGATTAGTACAAAAGGTTATAGAGATTTTAGACATTCATGAACCAATCTTTTAAATAAAGGAGTTTATTTAAAAGATTGGTTCCTGAAAAACATAACTGGGAAAGTCTTAGGCTAAGAGCAGCTGACAGCATAGTTATTCAATGTGTCTTATTCCCTTTGTTTAGAAAAATATTTTTTGGCATAGACTTTATTAGTTTATTTAGCAAACACTTGGAAGCTTAATGTGTTTCAGATATGGCTTTGAGTACTAGAGGTGCAGCACTAACAAAGCTCCAGCCTTTTTAGAATGTACGCCATAGTGGGGAAAGTAGATGTTAAACAAACTTGTGGCTTGGGTGTTTAATAGATTCTGAATAGTAACACTGTTTGACCTAAAGTGGTGGTTTTCAAACATTTAAAATTGGTGAGACACCTTTTTTTAACCTCAAAGTCCATTAATATAAAACAAATGAGTTAATCTGGTTAAATGGCATAGGTCACAGGTTAAATGGCATGAACCCTTGCCCTCACCTTCTAAGGTTTGTCAGAGCACTATTTGAAAAGTACTGGTCCAAGGAATTATTGAGTTTAGATCCTCAATGGAAATGAGTAAAATGTGATTGAAAACAAACCTCTTAACACTTGAGGGTTATGCCTAAATCTGGGTCCGGGAATAGGAGGAAATAAATTATGAGAATGTGTTTTGTGGATTATTATCTCTCTCTCTCAATCTATATGTAAAATAATGGATATCAATGTGTTTGATATATATGTCTGCTTCCACACATGTAAAAGCCTAATAAGATTTTTCCTTTTTACCCCTTTAGAAAATTATTGGTGTTTTTAAACCAAAATCAGAAGAGCCTTATGGTCAATTGAATCCAAAATGGACCAAGTATGTCCACAAGGTCTGCTGCCCTTGCTGCTTTGGCAGAGGCTGCCTGCTTCCCAACCAGGGCTACCTTTCTGAGGCTGGGGCCTACCTCTTGGATGAAAAGCTTCATCTGGGCATTGTACCTAAAACAAAGGTAAAGCAGAGTGGGTTTCCAGTCAAGTACTTAGCCCACTTGTCTGTGAGTACTTTAGTAATAACTTAATGGTAGAGCCTAAAGTGGAATCCCTTCTTGGTAATTCAAGAGTATGAGCAGCTGCCAACTTGTCCTCACATAGACCCACAAGCATGCAAGGGAATGGCTCTTGTTCCTGGGAGGTCACGGGAGCTAACACAGAGAGGAGGAAGGACTTGCATTTAGAAAGTAGACAAAAATGAGGGATCAAGATTTGTGGAAGGTCAAGATAGCTATTTACAAGGCTGCTATTGGTTTCTTTTTGGACTTTGTATGTTTTAATTGTTGCCATCCTCAAAATGTTCATATCTAATTCTACAATTTAAAACTCTTGCTTAGTTTTTTCCACTAGAAATTTTTAGGTCACTTTTATACCTCTTTGAGAAAAGAGATATGTTCCATGGTTTCACAAAATCCCCTGGCCTTTCTATCTTAGATTTTCAGCTATAGCCTTAAACTTTGCTCGTTTATAGGATTAGAGTGAATTTGATTGCGTACGTGGATAGAAATATCATAATGCAAATTCTGACCATTTTTCTGAACTCTGTGTTTCTAGGTGGTTTGGCTTGTCAGTGAGACATTTAATTACAGTGCAATTGACCGAGCAAAATCAAGAGGCAAAAAGTATGCCTTACAGAAAGTGCCAAAAGTAGGTAGAAAGTTTCATCGGATAGGACTACCTCCTAAGGTGAGTTACTGTGATAAGCTGTACTTAGGATGTAGTTGGGAGGTTCAGCCTGATCTCTTAGAGCTAAACATCACACTCTAGACTGTGGTTATAGTAGTAAAAGCTTTTTCCTCTTTGAGGAGCTCATAGTAACCAAGCCATTTCAATGCAGTTTGATAAAGTGCTTGATAGGTAGTAAGTTCGGGAGCTTTGAGAGGTTCAAAGAGGGATGCCTAGAACTGGGATTATAGCCCAGTGGTGGAGCTTTTGCATAACAGGCTAAGGCCCTGGGTTTGATCCCCAACACCACTCACACCAAGAAAAGATGCAGAAGAGGGATGCCTAACTGAGTCTGGAGGAGCAGGGAATGTTTCCCAGATGATGTTGTATCAAAGGCTTTATAAAGTAATGGCCAAAAGTTCCGATCTAGAGTCGGAGCTGGGTTCCATCCTGTCTCTATACTAGTTAGCATGAGACCTGGGCAGGGTCTGTATTTTGTCAGCCCTAGTTTCTATGAAGTAGGGAATGACATGAACTACCTCTTAGGATAAACTTGAGAAATTCAGGTCAAGTACTTGGTACATAGTTATGGTTCAGTAAATGGTAGCAGCCGTGTTTGCTCATTGCACATTAGATCTTGTTTTTTCTAATCACTTTAAAATAAACTGAGAGATGATTAGCAGCTAACTAAGCAAAGGTGGAGAGGGCTAATGGGAAAGGCATCCTAGAAAAACTCTAGGATTTATTTTTTAAAAATAAACTTGACCTACAATTTTGTTTTGGTTTTGCTCTACATGTATCTAGATAAAAGACTTTGAGTGGAAATTCATGATTAACTAATTTTAAAAATTGTACTCCAAGTAAACTTGGAGTTCTAAGACTTTTTGTAAGTCCTTTTCCTTCTTGGATGTGCTAAAATAAGCATGACTGTTGGAGACTATGGTTTCCATATTAATGACTACTACTACTTAGTTATAAGTGCCTTAAAGAAAACGTTGGAATTGTTTAAAAAAAAAAATCATGCCAACAACAAGACTATAAAATGTTGGGATAAGGAATAGATTTTTGTGTGTGGTGATTTGTTTGCATTTGTGAAGATTGCTCAGTACCCAGGCATCATCTGCTGTTGAAAACTTGTATTTCCATCTTTAATACATGGTTTAATGTTAACTAGTAAATTTTAGTAACAAAAATGTCTTTTAAAATGGATATATTTTCAAGGAAAGAACTATGTAAAAAAACACTATAGGGGTTATGGTTCTTTTAAAATTTATGACAGGATCTTTAATCTGAATAGTCAAAGAATCCACTATTATTTTTAAAATAAAATTATTTTCAGTATTTTATGTTTTAAGAAGAGTCTTGAAACGTTTCTTTCATGATTAAAATTGCACTATTATGAAATAATCAGGATTGATGTTCAATTTAGCCTCCATAATTAAATTCACTTTAATGAATATTTTTAGAAAGCAGCATTCTTGTTAAGAGTGTCACCTTGAGGGCATATGTTTATTTTCCTTTTTGATTATCCCGAAATAGCTGCTTAAAAGTCTAGTCTAGCAATGCTCCTTAATAGTCTAGGGTTGAACATTTTTTATTTGCTGTGCATTCTTCATGTGATTATTTAAAATTAGTGTGTAAAAATAGGTTTCTTGATAAATATGCTTATCTAAATTAGCATTATCTCTTCTATTTTTCTTATTATGTTTGTATAACATTTTGTGACAGTACTGCTGAGAAATTAAAAATTAATCCCTTTGTTCTTGTACTTTCGTTTCTAACTATAGTTCTTAAAATTGTAGATTGGTTCCTTTCAGTTATTTGTTGAAGGTTACAAGGAGGCTGAATATTGGCTTAGGAAATTTGAAGCTGATCCTTTGCCTGAGAATATTAGAAAACAATTTCAGTCACAATTTGAAAGATTAGTTGTTTTGGATTACATCATCAGAAACACAGGTATTGAAGTTCTCTCATTTGTTCACTCCGATCTCATTAGCTTTCAAACTGTACTATTGTTATCTAAATCAGAGCTATAAAATTTTGATGCAAAAATCTTAAAGCTACTTCTTCTACCTGTTTTCAAAACAGACATAGTACAAACTCTCCTGGGCATAATTAATCCTATACTGGGGGGTTTGACTCATACCAGGCTCCTGTCTGGGTGACAGAGATCAATTCTTGGCCCCTAAAGAGAAATTTCCTAGGAGCAGGACAAGGCCAGATATTAGAAATGTTATCTGCATAATATGAAAAATTAAAACTCGATTGTATAATTTAGTTTAGATGCTCATTTTGACATTGTGTAATTGTTAGTATAGTTACAAATACATTAAACTTTACATTTGTTCTGCTTTGTAAGGAAATAATCTAATTCCAAATTTGGATGTAGACAGTCCAAAGCAGTAGGTCCCAATTGTAGTTCCCTGGATTCTCAGGGTCATTCTTGTACAATATCCTAGACTTACTGAGCAAAAACTCTGCAGCGGGGCAAGGACTGTGTTTTCATGCGTTTTCCAGGTAACTCTGATGCACTCTAAAGTTTGAGAACTACTGGTTTGAAATGTTTTCTCATTCATATTAGCTTCTGAAAAAGCATCATGTAATTTTCTACATTGACCTTCTTAATTAATATGATCTTAAATTAATACTAAAATTAGTGTGTAGTCCAGGGTACCCCAGTACCCTGGTAACCTGTTTGGAAATTTGCCTAGCAGGAAGGGTAGATGCTTTTTCTTTCTCAGGTGAAGAGGAAGTTACCCTTGATTTTAATAACCTTAATCTAATAATCATATCTCCCTCACAGGGTAGGTTATAAGGATTGAATTAACACATGTGAAGCCCCTAGAACAGTATCTGGCACAGAGAAAACATTCAATAAATGGTCCCAAATATTTATGGGTTTTTTTTGTTTGTTTGTTTGTTTTTAGTTTTAAATTGAAACTTTGATATGGTAGACGTATGCTATAGAAAATCAATGAAAATCTCAAAAATCGGCAGGTGACTAGATTTCTCCCCTTGATATTCATCTATAATGCCCATAAAAATCAATTAACAAATTTTTTTGTTTCTTTTAAAAGACAGAGGAAATGATAATTGGTTAGTCAGATATGAAAAGGAGAAATGTAAAAAAGAAACTGACCGTGAGGTAAGCAAATTTTAAATGAATAAGTAAATATATCTATATCTACACACACACACACATATACAACAGTCAATTTGTGTAAAAGATTTCTTGAAATTAAGTTATTCTCCATTATCTCCTCCTTCCCTTGTTAAATCTTTGATTTTAATTCTGTTCTTCTCATCTTTTTTCTGTCACTTGTTTATACTGAATTTCCAGATTCTATTTTTTATTATCTCTAGGCAGCTTTATTTTTTGTTTTGTATTAAAACAGAAGAATGATACCAGATGTATCATTTTTTTTTAGAGCTTGGGAAATTTGCAGAATGACTATTTTTACTTTGCTTTTATGTAATTAAGGTTTCTGGTATTTTTGTATTTTATTAGTTCAGTTCCTGCTGAGTTTTTTGGTACTAGGAATTGAACTCAGGGTGCTATATCACTGAGCCACAGTCCCTGCTCTTTTTATTTTTTATTTTTGATACAGGGTCTCACTAGTTCTGAGACTGGCCTTGAACCTGTGATCTTCCTGCCTCAGCCTGCCAACGTGCTGGGATTATAGGCATGTGTATACCATTGCACTGGCTCCTTCCGAGTTTTTGATTCAGTATTAGGTAATCTAATATTACCTAATGCAGTGGAACATGTATGCTTCACTTATGAATTATACCCACTGAACTTAAAGAAAACTTTCACCTAGAAGCTGGTTTTAACACAGAATAAACTGAGACTCTTAACACTATAAAAATTTTAGTATTCATTACTATCAACTCTGAGTAACCTAAGTTCACATATTAGTTACATAAGACATTTTTAGACTTTTTTAGTTTACAACAACCTGGCCCTACTTTTGAGAAAATTTTAAGTGATTAAGAAAAATAATTTCTCCAGTACTTATAATTTCTGTGTTCTTAAATTGTCACTTAAAATGTTTGCATCACTTTGAAGCATTTGTACTTTTAATTGTTTATCCAGGAAATTTTAAAATACATATGCAATACTTAGTAATAAAAAAAAAACCAAACTTGATACACATAGTAAGGGAATCAATCTTTTTAAAACTACGCTGAGTGAAAGAAGCTATAAAAGGTCACATACTGTATGATTCCATTTACATAAAAGTCTAGAAAATGCAGATCAGCCCCTACTGACAGAAGGCAGACCAGTGGGTACTGGGGACCGGGCAGAGGGAGGCATGAACTGCAGTGGAACTCAGGAAACTTTTGGGTGAAGCTTTCACATCTGTTCAGGTTTATCAAATAGGACCCTTTGACATGTAAGGTTTATTTGTATAAATTATACCTCAACAAAGTTGTAAATAGGAAAAAGAATGATAGAAATAAAAAATAAATGGCAGTTATAGCAGAAAGGGATTTAAAATACATACAAAATATATATGTGTGTAATACCTCCTGAATTTGTTTTATTGGTATATCTTGGATAATTAAATTTGTTGAAAACTTTCTTCTTTCGCCCTGAGTATTTTGTGTATGTTTATTGAGGTAAGATTTGGTATAAACTAAGAGAAACAAAGAAACCTGGCACATCTTCACAGTAGAATTTTTAATTTAAAAATAGCCCTTTTCACTTCTTGCTCTTTTATCTAGGACACTTACTAATGCCAACCACCTGTCTTTATATCATGGGAAATACTCTTTGTCTTCCTCCTGAGGTCTTGGTTTCTGCTACAGAAGAATGTAGAAGTCAGGAATGGCCTACATTCTGTAGTCAAGAATATCTTGAGGTTCCTTCTGCTCGACCTTATTATATTTAGTTACAGTCTTTTAGAGGAATTTTCTTTAGAAATACTTTATATGTAACCTAATTGTTTCCATGGGACTATAAGAAAGACTAAATTTTAATAAGGTAATTTTGTTAAGTTGTTAACTTAAAGAAATCAATAATATTTTGCAAATATCAAACATCTAAGCAATGCATCTAGAATATCACTTTTTTTGGTGGGGGTGGGGTACAGGGGATGGAACCAGAGGCACTTTGCCATGGAGCCATTCCCCAGCTTCTTTTTTTAGTTTTTTTTATTTTTTATTTTTGAGACAGGGGCTTGCTAAATTGCTGAGGGCTTTGAACTTGCAATCCTCCTGCCTCAGCCTCCCAAGCTGCTGGTATTACAGACATGCACCACTGTATCCAGCTTAGAATATCACTTTTAAAGTCTTAATATTCTCAAACTCTCCAAAAACAGGGGACAAAAGTGAAACCATTACCAAGTAAACATGTTGTGTCAAATTTTAAAATTAGCATTTGTGAAATTCTTACTGGTTTTTTAAAATAGTCTCTTCCCTTCCTGGGTGAATTTGTTTTGGTTTTGATTTTGATTTTCTTTTTTTCTATTTCATTTTTTTTGCAACAATTTTAATTTTTATGGACTCTTTTTAAAAATATTTTTTATACTTTTATTTTATTTATTTTTATGTGGTGCTGAGGATCGAACCTAGTGCCTCACACTTGGTAGGTGAACGCTCTACCACTGAGCTACAACCCCAGCCCTTTTATGGACTCTTGAGAAAGAATATGTCCTTAAACCTCAGTAAGTATTATAAATAATTTATCCTTTGGAAATATTTATATAGGTGCTTTTACCAACAGATCATTCTTTCTTCTTTAGGTCTTAAACTGGATCAGTGATAAAGAATTGCTTATTAAAGTAGCTGCAATTGATAATGGTCTAGCATTTCCTTTTAAACATCCTGATGAATGGAGAACATGTGAGTATTTAGAACCATCTGTAGATTCTATCATAGTCTCTTTTCCAAAGCAGGGAGGGAACAAGATGTGTAGACATCAAAATAGCAGAACTGGATGAAGTATAAGTATAATCGTTTATTAGGATTCAGTTCTAGGCACTGGGAATACAAAGATGTGTACTGCATGGGTCTTGCTGTCTATTGTTTGGTTAATATTGTGAGTTGCATTCACTTATAAAATGATTTGGGCCTGCCCCCCTCCCATTCAATAGTGATTTAATTTCTTTCCGAGTCTCTTCTATGGTTAAATACCAAGTTTTCTATATCTTGAGCCAGTTACAGATATTTTTAAGTTTGCTCAAAATTATCTATGATATCTGGAGTTTCAGATTTGTGAGTATAACATTTTATGTAGAATTCTCTTATAACTTAAAAAAAAATTAAATGTCAGGCATTTAATTACACCTGTAATCTCATCCATTTGGGAAGCTGTGAGACAGGAAGATCACGAGTTGAAAGCCAGCCTCAGCATTTTAGAGAGGTCGTAAGCAAATTAATGAGACCTTGTCTCAAAATAAAAAATAAAAAAGGTTAGGGATGATGTTTAGCGGTTAAGTGACCCTGCGTTCAGTCCCTCGTCCCCACCCCACCAATTTTTTTTAATCCCCTCTTTGCATTTTAACTTCTTAGAAGATGAAATGAAGTGATATGTAGAATTTGCCTTTAAATATTTGTGGAGGTAGAGACAAGATAGAACAGGTGAAGTAATTTCACAAAAGTTTATTAATAACTAAATTAGGTTATTTGGAATGTGGGAGTTTACTACATTGTTTTTTGATTTTTGCGTAGTTTAAAATATATGTAGTAATTAAAATTTTAAAATAATCTCTAACTATGATTATACCTCTTTTAAATTCCTACTATGAATTACTTTTTTTTAATGTTTAAGCTTGTCAAAGATTTGTTGCTTGTTAAGCATTAGACTATTTGTTTACTTACTTATCTTGCTTTTCTGCAGGTTATTTTATTGATCAGATTTTCAGTTTGCTTGCTTGATTTTTTTTCATTAACTATGTGTTCTATCTTTTATTATGTTCATCCTGTTTTGCTTTCCATCACTGTGACAAAGTAACTGAGAAAATAAACTTAATGAAGGAAAAGGTTTATTTTGGCTCATGGTTCCAGAGGTTTCCATCCATGGTCTTTTAGCTCTGTTGATTTGGGCCTGTGGTAGCATAGAACATCGTGGTGAGAGCATGTACCAGAGACTGCTTACCTCATGGCTGCTAGAAAGCAACTGAGAGTGACAGGAGGAAGCCAGGTCCCAATATTGCTTTAAAGGGCACACCCCGAGTGACCTAACTTCCTCTCACAAAGTTCCACCACCTCCCAGTAGCACCGCAGGCTGACAACTGAGCATTTTACACATGGCCCTTTGGATGACATTCAAAATCCAAATTATGGCACTATAAATGCTATAATTGGGCCATATATTTTCATCTGGGTATCATTTCAGCTAAACTACTGATTGGATGAGTTCTGCCATATTGTTCTGCTTTGCTTATTTGTATTCTCTGATTTCTTTGATACAAGTAACTTAGAAGTATTTTATTTGATTTCAATATTGGTTGTTTTGATTATTGACATTTTTTTAAGTGTGTGTTGTTGCAGTTGTCCTATGTTACTGCATTGTGATCCATGAAAATGGCATGTGAATTTTTTTTCTCTTTCCACATTTCTTATTGGTGCATTGTAGTTATATATAATGATAGAATTTGTTCTTCTACATTCGTACATGCACACAAGTGAATTGTTTTTTGCAATTCATTAGAATGTACTTTATGATTTTATATGTGGCTGATTTGGAGGACTATATTTGAAAAAATGTGTTTGGCACAAAGTTCTGTCTACGTCTACTAATTAAAGTTTGTTGGTTGTTAGTCCTATCAAATCCTTGACTTATTTCTTGAGCACTTAATTAAACCACTTAATTTTGGGGAGGCAATTAAGATCACCTTGATTGTGATTTTGTCAATTTCTTCTTGCATTTTTTACTTTGTATTTCACTCACAAAAAGGTCCAGTGTTTTATGTTCTTGGCGGTTTTTCTGTTTTGTTTTGTTTTGTTTTTAATCTGTGTGAATTATATTGCCCTTTATCCCTCTCTGTCTTTTGCTTTTTATTTTGCCTGTTACAACTTTGCTATCCCTCCTTTCTTTTTGTTGGCATTTACCTGGTATTAGACAATTCTTTTATTTTTAACCTTTAGCATTTTGTTTTAAGTGTATGACTAATAAACAACGTTGGGTACATTTTTCTTAACCCAGTCTGAGTCTTTTAATATGTGCACTTAACTCCATAGTTTAAATCTTAATAAACTGTTTGAACTTTTTTCTGCCATCTTATCTTTTTTTCTCCTGACTGTGAATTCTCATTTGTTCCCTTTTGCTTTTCCTATCTTTTGTTGACTGAATTGTCTTGTTTCCATTTTATTTTTCCTAATCTTTGGGAAACTGTGTTCAAATTACATTTTGAAGTGTTAGGTTTTCTGTAAGACAGTTGGTAAATTTTATCAAACATGTAGTTGGGTATTAAAGGTCTGGATCTTAAAGAGGAATTGCTATTGAGAATATAGTTTTTAAACTGTTGTTGTCATCTGGAAGCCATGGTGGTAGCCATGGTGGTATTTGCTATCACCCAGGGAAATCAAGGAGAACAAACACCATTGCCTAATCCAGTGCTAGGAACATAAGAGCCTGATAAATGTTTCATGAATGCTAAATAAGTAAAGAAGGAAAGGAACTGAGTTTAGAGTCTGGAGGAACGCTGATGTTGAAAGAATGGAGGAAATGCCAGCACAAGAGAGAGGGAGTGACTTATAAGACAGAAAGTAAATTGTGAGAGAGTGGTATCTCCAGAACCATAGAGGGGGAATTTCATAAAGGTGAAATTCCTTGCTGCAGAGACTAAGTAGCATGAGGACTGCAGGTGGGTCAGTGAAGAGCCCTTGTGGGATGACTCGGGGGCCCAGGGAGGGATTTTGGATGAAGTTGAGGGATAAGAAGTGAAGGCAGGCAAAGAATAAGGGCTTTCCCTTTATGAAACTCTTCAGGGAAAGACAAGAAGGGAATTGGACCTACCTTCCAGGAGATGGGGGCCAGAGGAAAGGCTTTAGCATGCAATTAGTACCTCCCGCAGTGTGCAGAGAGATCTATAGAAGAGATATGAGTATCAGTGGCTCCAAGGGAAGATTTCTTCCTCAAGCTCTCTGAGTGGTGGGAACCAAACTGGGGGGTTTGGAATATGCATACGTACCCTTTCTAGAAGATTCCACCGTTATGCAAATCTTTCAAGTCCTGGTACTGTGTGAATTTAATGGTCTCCTTGTAGGGGCCACTAGTTACCCAGAAATATGGATTCTTTTCTTTTTTCTTTTTCTTATTATTTTTTTGTGGTGCTGGAGATCTAACCCAGGAGTTCACCTGATAGGCAAGCGCTCTGCCACTGAGCTACATCATTACCCAAGTTATAGATCTTTTATCCCTTAAAGCTACCTATTTACTTTCTGATATTATAAAAATTTAGAATGTCTTCTATATACAAATGCTGCAGTTTCAGTTGATTTATAGCTGTGGGGGACGAGGAAACCTCACCTATGGTATTCACTCTGGGGCTGTGGATAATTAGTGGGTACCCACCAATCTCTGAACAGATAGATTCAAATACATTTTTGGATAGAACTATTTGAAATAGACTCAACAAATTCTGATTCTTTACCATCTCAAACTCAGAAATATAACTAGTTCAGGTTAGACCTTACTGTACTTTACCATCTGAACTGGCTATCTGAACTTGGAATCTGATTAATTTGAATTACAAAAAATAGTTTACTCTCCTAACTTCTCTCTCCTGTCCTTTCTTTGGGAGACCTAGGAGTTGTAGGAAAGAAACAGGATAAATGTGAGTCTAAATAAACCATTTTCTGTCACTGATTATTTTCTATTAGATCCATTTCACTGGGCGTGGCTTCCTCAAGCAAAAGTTCCTTTTTCTGAAGAAACAAGAAACTTGGTTCTGCCATATATTTCTGACATGAACTTTGTGCAAGATTTATGTGAAGATCTTTATGAACTTTTTAAGGTAAATAAAAGTTTAATTTGTGTGTGGAGATGATGTTTGCACATTATTATTATTATTTTTTTTAACTAGGGTTTGAGCCAAGGTTCTCACATAAGCTGGGCACACACACACTACTACTACTGAGCTATTATGTCCAACCCTTTGTTTTTTATTTTGAGAGAGGATCTTACTAAGTTGCCCAGGCTGGCCCTGAACTTGGGATCCTCCTACTTCAGCCACTCTAATAGCTAAGGTCCCAGGCATGTGAAACTGGGCCTGGCAGCATCATGCTTTTTTATTTATGTCTCACTTAAAACTTACTACAACCCTACAGCATCCTTGATGAAGTAGTGCTGAGAAAGGTCAAGTTCATTGCCCAGATTTAAAATGCAGACACATGTCTGTCTTATACCAATGTTTATTTGCATTTACCTCTGATACTTGGCTCTCATCTATAACCCAGGTGCTTGTACAGTTTTTGAAAAGGAAAAAATAAATAAAGCAAACAGTCGGCATAGTGTTTTTAAAAAATGTTTAGTTTTGATTATTACAAAAAAAGAAAGAAAGAAAGAAAGAAAGAAACCTTAAAAAGAGCTTTTATTTTCCTTTCTTTCCAGTGCTGGGGGTTGAATGTTGGGGTGCTGTACAACTGAGCTACATTCCCAACCTTTGTTTTTACTTTTTATTTTGAGGCAGAGTCTTGCTAAATTGTCAAGGCTGGCCCTAAACTTGCCATCCCCGTGCCTCAGCTTCCCAAGTCGCTGAGATCACAGACATTTACCATCACACCTAACAAAAAAGATTTTTCCAAGTAGAGCTAATTTAGTTTACTACTACTTGTATTTTGGCTTGCAGTAGAACCTAATATAACAGGATTTAGCAACTTTATTTTCCTGAAGCATAAATTTTGTAAAGTTACACTTACTATCTTTTTTTAGTATCTTTTCAAGTGAGATTACATCAAAATTGAGATATTGCTTTCCTTAAAAGTTGAATTTTTACAAAATTACTGTATGAATTATATGAGTTTGGTGATTGCAGTGATCTGATTCTTGAAAAGCCTGAACTCATTGTCTAGAAAATCATCTTAAATCCTTTCTGAAACAAGATATAAACAAATTAAATTTTCCTTGTCATTCTAGGGGTATAGAAAAAGTACGTTAAGTGAGAATGTTCTTTTCTTGTTATTTTATCAATTGAGAAAAATTTCTAATGACCTTGTTTGCTATATGGAAGAGTTTTTTTTTTTTTTTAATTCTATATTTGTTTCAAAGGTTTTGAGTTTTGGAATAATAATAATATATTTTTTTTCCTTTCTGTAATAGACTGACAAAAGTTTTGACAAAGCTACTTTTGAAAGTCAGATGTCTGTGATGAGGGGTCAGGTAGGTCACTTTTTGATGATTAAGATAAAAACTTCCTGAGACATTATCACTGTAACCTGTGATTAGAAATGAAATTGATTTAAATAATGTCTTTCCTCTGTCGTCTTATATATTAGGCATGTTGGACCTAGTTAAATGTGGTATATTTAACCAGTTGTCAGTGCCTGCCCCTGAGTCATCATCCCATTGGCTCTTTTCCTGAGCCTTAGTACCCTTTATTCCCTCAAGTCCCCTTGTGTGGATCTTCAATACCAAGTTCTAGTCCATTAGATTATTTTCCTTGTGGAACATGTTTGGCTTTGCTAGAGCCATCAGTAAATAACCCTGTCATCAGAATTGAGTACTGATTAAGAGTCATGGCACTACATAATTTTAAATCAATCCTTCCTCCTCCTCCACTCCTCTAATAGAGATACACAGTGTTAGGTCTGTTGGTGTGGACCTACAGGCTAGGCCAACTCACATGGCATCTGCTTCCTTGACTATTCCAAAAGGAAACCTAGCAGTGAAAATATATCATACTGTAAAGATTGACTTTTGGTAAACTCCAAATTAGCATTCTCTTCCTAAAACATACATTGAATTTAAGGTAGCTGTTTGCTGTAGTACCTGTGGCAAGGAAGATGAATTTGGCTTTTGCATTGATTGTGTTCTAGAATTTTAAGAAGTAAATATAATCAAATCAGATATTTTATTAATTCATCAAATACTTATGGCAGAACTGGTAGGATATAGCCCGTTAATATAGAAGGCCTTGAGAATCAGAGTGTTGATTTCACATGGCAGGGATTAGAGTAATTAGAAATTTAGCATTAAAGAAGAGTGTGAAAAGGGGCTTGGGGGTGGGACTGGGATTGTGGCTTAGGGGCAGTGCACTTGCCTGGCATGTGTTAAGCACTGGGTTCGATCCTCAGCACCACATAAAAATAAATAAAAAGGTTCGATCCTTAGCACCACATAAAAATAAATAAATAAATAAATAAATAAAGTTATTGTGTACAACTACAAAAAAAATATGGAAAAAAAAAAAGAAAAAGAAGAATGTGAAAAAACCCTTATCCTTGGTTTTTTTCTCTGTACTCCCTGAAATTGTGTGTGAAATTTTGTATGTGCATTTTGCCAGGGATGGGGGTGGGTAGGATTTATATCTCAGCGAAGGGATTCCTAACCCAGAAGAGGTTTGAACCACTGCCGAAGGCGAGGCTGGACAGTGAGTGCAGATTTGCTTAGCAGATGAGGAGACTAGAGCCAGGGAGCCTAGCTAGGAGAGTCTTTGGCATTTGAGCATGGATAAATGGATTAGTTGACCAATAATTATAATTATATTGCAGAAATTTTTAACCATTCCAAAAATATGTTTGAGTAACATTTTCAAGTGTGAAGAATTATGTCCCTCTTTGACCTTTTTGCTTGATGCAAATTGTCTTGCCATATCACTATGCTTCATCCTCTGGGATTTTCTTTTCCCTGAAGGTATCCTGTAGTCTCCCCTTTTCTGGGGATATGTTCCAAGACCTCAAGTGAATGCCTGAAACTGAATAGTACTGAACACTGTATGTACAGTTTTTTCCTATGCATACATACATACCTATGATAAAATCAGACAAACAATAACAATAATAAAATAAAACAATTATAGCAATATACTGAAATAAGTTATTTAAAACATACATTGTTTATATCTGGAAATTTCTACTTAATACTTTCAGAATAAGGTTGACTTCGGGTAACTGAAATCATTGTTAAGAGGGGACTCCTGTATCCTTATATTAGGAATGTTACTTTAAGTAAGCAAATAAGTAAGTGCTATAAATAATATTGTTAGCTTATTTGTGGATTAAAGTTAGCACATGAGAAATTTAAATTAAGAAATGCTTCCCCAAGAAGGCGTGGGAACATTCATTTCTGAGGTCAGCTACAAAGGCGTGCCAGTAAGTAGCTGCTGTTTCCAGTGTGTTTATTCCTATCCTATCTCATTCACATAGGAACTAACATATTATAAAAATGCTTATAAAAATAGATAGAAAATGACAGGACCAAGATGGGGGGGGGGTGGAAATGATGATATTTAGGTTATATGTTTTAATTTGTTTCATTTTATTTTGTTTTTAAATTTTAATTTGAGTTTGAGCTTTCTGATATCCAAAAAGAATAATGTGGGGCTGGGGTTGTAGCTCAGTGGTAGAGCGCTTGCCTAGCATGTGTGAGGCTCTGGGTTCAATCCCCAGCACCACACAAAAAACTAAATAAACAAAATAAAGGCATTGTGTCCATCTACAACTAAAACTATTTCTTAAAATAATGTACCCTGATTATGTTTGTGTGTGGTTGTGTAGCTCTCTGGTTTTAGGTGGGGTTTTGTTTGTTGAAAGTTGGCCTAAAAATAAGATATTGTTCTTTATCTGAAAATAAATCAATACTTATAAAGCAAACACTTAACAACATGCAAAAAATAAAACAACAAAAAAACACCAGTACATTTTATATTCTGAACAACAGAATCATTATTTCAGCCAGTTCCTTAATTCAGTCAAAATGCTCATGTTTTATCATTTATAAATATCTCTTAAATTCCTCTCCCCTCTAGTTTTATTCAGTAACTTAATGATTTGTGATGTGTACAACCAAGCCTTTTGCCCTAGTTTACAGTAGTTTAGTTTTATACACATAACCAGTGACATGCTCTAATTCTTCATATGAGGATGTGGCGTGGAACTAGTATGAAGGCATTTCTTAGATTTCAGAACTGGTAATATTCATAAGAGCTAAATGAGATTTTGAATTTTATATTAGTTAACAATAGGCAATGATTAGGTTCAACAAAACTCATTAAGTTCTACCTGTGCATGAAACACTGAATTTCAGAGTAATTTGGTTATGAGAAATATGAAGTATATCTTCCCCATGATCTGAAAAATGGCAGAAATAATAAAACTGTTTTAAGAAAACACAATTAGCTTGTATTCACTGATTGACAAACCAGAATCTTAAAAGCAAATTAAGTTATTGATGTTAAAGAAAATGAAGCTAAAATTTTAGTACCCCCTAAGCACTTGACCCTTTCCTGGGTGTTTTATGTTTGTTTTCATTTACCCTCACAATAACTACTGTCACCTGCATTTTTTTGTGAGGCTCTAGGATCATAAAATGGATCCTAAGAAACATGACTGAGGGGGTCTAATCACATGCTGTATCTATGAAATTGGGGATCTGTCTTAGCTTGTCAAATCTGTAGCATTTAGGCGTTGTGTCTACCTGAGGTCTTTTATCATCTCATTTCTGGATTTATTGACATCTTCTAAGTCACATCCTTATCTCTTCCACAGTAAAATGAGGACCGGGCTGGGAGTAGTGGTAGAGGTCTTACCTAACATGCATGAGGACCTGGGTTCAATTCCCTGCACTGCATGGAGAGGGAGAGAGAACACAGTCTTAAAAACACTTGTGATCCTGTCTTTTGTCAAGGCAGCTCCCTGGACTTGCTCTTGTGCACAAGCTCAAGTCCAGCCCTCCAGCACAGCCAACAAGGTTCTTCACAGTCAGCCTCCAGCCATCGCACCGCCCCTTACTCTTGCTGTTTTGCAACTTCCCGAGCTTCTTAGCTTCTCTGAACTGCTCTTTCTTTCCAGTTCTCAATGGAGCTCTTGTGCTCTGCCCTCCTTGGATGCCTCTCCCTCTTCCGAGAGTTTTCCCTTCAAGCTCCAGCTTGGTCTTCTCAGGCTCCTCCTGCCACTCAGGGGAGGCAGTTCCTGCAGCACTCCCCAGGAATATACTGGTGTCATGTTGGACTCGGAAAGTTGGTTTTTAAATCAGCCTGTTGAATACATGCCTATTGGAAAATAGCATAAAATGGATCCTAAGTTAGAGTATCTGTGGTTTCGTGTGTATGGCACAGTGATTCTTCTGCCAACTGAAACTTGAGGGCCAGTGAACTAATCTAAAGGAAAGCAGTCTGTATGGAGTAGGTGAGTTTGTGCCTCCTGTCTTTGCCAGATCGCAGATGTCCCTATCAAGCTATCAGGTGTGACATTGGTGGAGAGCTTCAGTGTTTCCTCTTGCCTGCAGTTTGGTCCATTGTATTTTTTAAAACAAGCCTCTATAATTAAACATACAATAAAAGATTTGTGTATTCTTTGAGAAGTGGAAAAAAAAAAAACTGGGCAGGGGGAAGGGATCGGATTTTAAAGTCAGGGCACAATTTCCTGCAGCTAAAGTGTTTCTCACACTGCACTGCAGTTATTTGCTCCTGTGGCCCTTTGTTTCGGGAGTATAAGTTCTTTCAAGGCTCATTTTGTTTTTCCTTTCTGTTTTGTCCCTTCTCCTATGCAGTGAGCTCTTTGTAAATGTTTATTTAGTAGATAAATGCAAGATTATCGAGTCTCTTTTGATCCCAGAGAAATATTAATAGTCAGGATTGTTTTAAGATTGAGTAACTTGTGCTGTTATAATACTTTGAAAATCCATGTAATCTTGTGGAGTGACTTTCTTTTTCTTGTACCTCTCTATTTTTCAGATTCTCTGTAACAATCGTGCGTTGTAATTAGCATCAGGAAAATCTTAGATGTTACTTAAAATGCTATATTTAGACTTACTATTTGTGGAGTAGAATTTTTAAAAAGAAGAAACTAACTAGAACATTTCATTCCTTACACATGCTGGTCTCCATTTTATTTTCATGGTATAAACAATGCTTATAAACCTAAATTTTATAAGTTCTTTTTTTCTTGTGTCCAAATGAAACCAAAGTAGAAAATTTTAAGAGGGAAACTTAAAAGGCATCCTAAAACAAATATAATCTATAATATTGTTGCTAGTAAATATTTATTTCTGTGATATATTAAATACTTTGGGAGCTCAACCATCTCATTTATAGTATTCAAAATATTATGAAGCTTATTGGTTAGTATGGCTGCTGTATGTTGACATTTTCATGCTTATCATTATTAACTAATCTTTATTAAAGAACCAGTGAAGTGCATATTAGATATTTTCGAGTACCTGAAGGAGATATTTGTATATTTAAAGTACATAATAAAAGAATTTTTCCTAATATGCAGAAAAAAAGAAAAATGAATTATTAAAATTTTATTTTATCTGAACAAAGAATAGACTAGGCTCTAAGCTATGAATTGAGTTTCATAACCTTATTTGTATGCTCAAAGATAAAAATTCTAGGTATCTTTGAACATGGAATATATTTCTTCCAAGTTTGATTTTTCCTATAATAAACTCTTAAATAAAATTTTATTTGAAATTGGTACTTCCCCAAACTCTCTAACCCACTCTGGGCCTGTTTCATGCTTGCCCACCTTCTAGTACATGAAATAATTTACTAACTTCTGCTTATTGACCCCTTCCCCTGCTAAAAAGAAGGCAGGAATTTTGTCTGTATTTCTATCATATTCCCAGCACGCGGAATAGAGCCTAATGCATAGAAGGTATGCAGTAAATTTATTCGTCAAATAAATGAATAAGGCAAATATTTAAACTATTATTTGTTTAAGTTCTGTGTCAGATGAAATGTGTTGAACCTTTCAGTTTATCTAGTCTCTGATTTCATTGCTCTTGCACATAGATGCATTCTAGGTTACTCTAATTTTGTGCATTAAAGACAGAATTATAATAGTTATTTATCACAATCTCTGTTGTGCATAATGGGTGAAATAAAAATTATGGTGGATTAAATGATTGAAATAATAATGTCAGTCGAGGCTTTTTGGCTTCTTTGAATTGATGAAAATCTCTCTTCTTTCCATAGATCTTAAATCTTACTCAGGCACTGAGAGATGGGAAGAGTCCTGTTCAGCTGGTCCAGATGCCTTGTGTGATTGTGGAACGCAGTAAAGGGGGAAGTCAGGGTCGGATTATCCACCCGGGCAGCTCCTTTACCCAGACTGTCCATTGCAGGAAACCATTTTTTTCCTCCTGGTAGCAGGTGTAAGAGAAACAACTGTTGGGCATTATTGCATTGTTAAAACATTGCAGCAATGTAAATCTGCTGTTAAGAGCTCCAGATGCCAAAACTATTTAAGTCCTTAAAATGGTTACATTTTGAATGTAATCAAAGTTTACAGTTTTTTGTCCAAATATTAAATTTCTATATCAGGGAAGAAGTGATAAGTCTTCTACATTGTATTTTTGTAGAAAATATGTATTTTGTGTTTTTGTTAGTGTAAAAGGTAAATTCATGGTTTACACAGCTAGAATGACTGTAATTACTGTATAATTTAAAGTAGAAAAATTAGATATTTGTTGACTTTGAATACAATGACATTTTCTGTATTTTTTAAACATTGGGGAGAATGTTCTTGTTAACTCTTCTTTTGTTGCATTACAAAAGACCTTTGAGGGTGGGTAAATCTGAAACCACTCCTGTGAACTTAAGAGTAGTCCTTAGAAAAATAGGTAAGAATAAAGCAATGCTGCCTTAATTTTAAAAGCTGCTATTTTAGAACTTGAATAAGTGCCGCTAAAGTGGTCATTTTGGGGGACCTAAAAATTAAATATGTTGTTGAAGTGACAGAGACCATTTTCTTTTTTGTACCTTAAAATTTTTTTTGTGAGGGGTGGTAATCAGGAATTGAACTCGGGGGCACTTAACCACTAAGTCATATTCCCAACCCTTTTTTATTTTCTATTTTGAGGCAGTGTCTTTCTAAGTTGCTTATGACCTTGTTAAGCTGGCTTTGAACTTGTGATCCTCCTGCCTCAGCCTCCCAAGCTACTGGGATTACAGGAGCATGCTCCCATGCCTGGCACCTTGGCATATTTTTGATGATTTATTTTGTTTAGTAAGAAAAAAACATCTAAAAATATTCCCCCTTTAAAAAACAAATGGATAGGGGACTGGGGTTGTAGCTCAGTGGTAGAATGCTTGCCTAGCATGTATGAGGCACTGGGTTTGATCCTCAGCACCACATAAAAGTAAATAAGCAAAATAAAGGTGTTGTGTCTATCTACAACTAAAAAAAATTTTTTAATGGATATATTCAAATGAGACTTGAGGGGAATAATGTAAATTTAAGGTAGATCTCTAGTATTTTGAAATTTCACAAGAACCTTAAAAATTCCCTTTTGTTTCTTACATGAGATCAAGTGATTAATCAATCAGTTCTTCAGAGTCTTGTTCATTTTAGTATTCAGTTAGTATTAAAATCACGGAAAAGTAAACTGTCCCTAAAGTGTGTATTGGATTGTGTTATAGATTTCTCAATAATAAGTTCTTAAAAATAATAGTGGTGCTTGAAATTATAGATGCTGTTATAATTAGAGCCGGTTTTAGATTATTAGCCCAAATTAGAGGTAACCACAAATTATTTATATTTGATTTTGAAGTTTACTTTTATATTTTATTTTGAATATGAGTATGTCTCATATTCTTGGAATTTATAACACTATTAAGTCACAAAGTGATTCAAATTAAAATGAGCCTAATATAAAGATGTGATTCCAGAGGAGAAAAGTTTAATTTCTTCTTCAATCTCAGAGCTAGTAACATCATTACTTGGACTAAACTGGGCAATTTGTGGTCTTGGTCTTTTGTTTTTTAGGTTTACTTTTCGTGATTTTTAAAAAATGAGTTATTTTTGTGTAAAAAGCATACTCAAGTGGTTATTTTAGGATATAGGACAGATCTGCAGTCTCTTCCTCAAATCACTCTTGATATTCATGGATGTGATGAATGAGCATATTGCTGCCTTTGAGGAGCTAATTGGAAACCTGTGTCCTATCTTCTACAACCTTCCATTTACTCAGTTTGAGATAAATGGAAAAATTACTGGAAAATCAAAACTCAAAGTACTATCTTTAGGTAAATACTAGTAATCAAAATGTGCCTTTTGAAGATGTATCTAAAAGGAAGGATATCACTTGTTGTGATATGGGTCTGTCTGACTTTCATAAACAATTTTTTTTTAGTATTTTGAGAATTACTATCTTAATTTTTATAATGGAGAACTTAGTAAATTGCTACTGTTTTATAACTTAAAATAACGTGAATATATTTTTAAATGTCTGACCATGATACAAAAGTAAAGTTGAGATATTTAAGATAAGTTTACAAGTTAGGGTACATTGGCATTGGCTGTGTTTTGTAAACTTTCATGAACTTAATTCTTACTTAAATATTGTGTTTTCTTCAGTGAGTATATTTATTTATATTGTCAAACCTGGTAGACTAAAGGTAATAAAATTGTCTTGAGGCTAGATTTCTCCTGTATGTATGTATGTTTAATATCTAAAGTGTTTGTGAACATGCTTATGTTTATAAATGATAGCAAACTACCACTTTTCTTACTTGGGATATTAGTGGTATTGTTTAACTCTGTAATGCAAAGGACATATTTAACTGGAATCTTCATAGTCAGAAACATTCTTAATCTTTTTACATTTCATGCTGCCTTTGTCAGCTCCTCTATTTGTCACCAGTTGATGACTATAGAGATCTGGTTTTCTGCATACTTGAAAATAATTTGATTTATACAACTTTCATTTTGTTTTGGGGATTGAACCCAGGGCCTTGTGCTTGCTAGGCAAATGCTCTTCCACTAAGCTACAACTGAGCTTGCAATTTTTCTCTATATTTAAGTACTATGCAATGAAATTTAAACCTTATTAAGTAACAGTGATGACATGCTCTTTGATCAGGTACCTTGTATGGATATGGGGAGAGAGGTGACTTTGTAGGTTGACAGCTTGCCTCACTGAGTTGCTTGGGTGACTTTATAGACTTGATTTCTTAGTGCTTTTCTACCTTTCCAAGCCTTATCTGCAGTTTGGGGCCATGTGAGTGAGTTTCGGCCAAGGAGATGTAGAGATAAGTGATATGTGTGATTTCCAGGCTTGGCAGTGAAACTACTGCCATAACTGACCACTCTCATCTTCTTATTTGATTTTAAGCAAAGACTTTACCAGATGGGAAATATCTGGGCACAGGAGTCAGTGCTGGAGAAATACTACCAGTATAGCCTCCTGACTGCATTGGGATGTGACATGAGCAGAAAGAAGTCACTTTAAAATCAAAAACACATCTCTCTAAATTAAAATATCAAAAAAGCAATTTTACCTGAAGTGTGGTAGTAGCAATGGTTTCTAAATCTCCATAACTCAGTTACGGTAACAAAAAATACAGCGAGATACCATCTCACCAAAAATAGGTGACAGATGATCTCTCTAATTCTGGATCAAAGTCCAGCTTGGATCAAAACCATCAAGAGCCTCAAGATCACATAGGAACACTAGCTGTGGAAAAGCAACCTGAGAGAAGAAAAGCAGAGCATGTGATGACCTAAGAGCCAGGGAATCCAGAATTTGCTACCATCTACTCAGCTTCAAAAGAAGGATCTCCCTCAATTGGTAGATACAAAAACCACAATCAAAAGGGGGATGAAGGCTTCCCAGCATTCCATTGGCAGCTACTAAAAAGGAGCCTGCAGAAAGAAAGGTATGAAAGATACTGCTGGAAACAGAACACACCAAGGGAATGGCCCTGCAATAGAGGAGCCATGGTTCAGATACTGCCAAATGGAAAAGAATTCTGTTAGAAGACTACTGCTAGGAGAGAGTACCAAATGGAAGAGAATTCACAAAGTACTAAAGAGGTGGTAAAACACATAACTTTTGTAATTAGTGACAAAGCCCTAGAACCATTTTTTTTAGCTGTGCTGAGAATTGAACCCAGGGCCTTGTGCATGCTAAGCAATGCTCTATCACTGGGCTACCTGAATCTCCTGCACAGGACACTTGAAAAAAATAATAGGAAAATCCACCTCAATTAAACATGACTACATCTTACAATATGCTCTGAAAAGTAGGATAACTATCACTTTAACATAACCACAGAAAATGAAGACATCCCAGCCATAAGAATGAAGCAGAAGAAAACAGTTCATCTTTTTCCCCCCAGTTGAGGTCTTACTTAGCTGCCCAGGCTGGTCTAAAACTTGTGAGCTCAAATGATTTTCCCACCACAGCCTCCCAAGTAGCTGGGAGAACAGGCACATGACATCATCCCTGGTTCAATCTAATATTTTAATAAAATGTGCTAAAGGAATTTAAGAAATGATAGAAGCTAAGAGCAAAATAACATCAAAATCAGAATATGAGATGGACAAGCAACAAGAAGATAAAATGAGAGCTGACAGCTTTAAGGAAATACTGAGTTAAAAACAGGTTTTAGAAATCAAGTAGAAGGGCCGGGTGTGGTGACGCATGTCTGTAATCCCAGTGGCTTGGGAGGCTAAGACAGGAGGATCACAGTCTCAAAGCTAGCCTCAGCAAAGATGAGGCACTAAGCAACTCAGTGAGACCCGTCTCTAAATAAAACATTAAAAATAGGGCTAAGGATGTGGCTCAGTGGTTAAGTGCCCCTGAGTTCAATCCCTGGTACCAAAAAAAAAAAAAAAAAAAAAGCAAGTAGAAGGAACACAAGAGCAAATAGGCAACATCAAAAACATCATACTAAGGGTTGAAAAATCTAAAACTTTGTATATTTTATATTGCTGCTGTAACAAATTGTCACATACTTACTTAGTGGCTTAAAACAATACAAACTTATTATCTGGTAGTTCTACAACTTCAAAAGTCTTGACACAAGTTTCAATGGAATAAAATCAAGGTGTCCCCATGGCTCTTTCTTGGAGGCTGTACGGGAGAATCCGTTGCTTTCCCTTTAGGCTCCCATTCCTAGGCACTATACCTCTCCCTCCTTCCATTCTCTCTTACTTTGAAGGACCCCGGTGTTCACACTGGGCCCACCGAGATAATACAGGATAATGTTACTCCTACCATTTTTTTAGTTGCGCTGAGAATTGAACCCAGGGCCTTATGCATGCTAAGCACATGCTCTACCACTGGGTTATACCCATCAGCTCCTTCCCTTTTCAAAAATTTGCTGACATACAATCTTAATTTTAACTGTGAACTTTTTCCATATTTTCATTGATGCATTGTAATTAGTCATAATAGTGGGGTTTATTGTTACATATTTGTACCTGCACATGATGTAACAATATAATTTGGGCAATATCATTCCCCAGTATTCCCCCTTTCTCTCCCCTCCTCCCTTTCACCTTTAACTTTCATCCCTAGATTTGGACATCTTCAGAGGCCATTTTTCTGTCTTCTCACAGTTCCCATAAGGTCAGAAATTTGAGGAAGATGCCTGCTCTCACCTCTTAGTGTTGTGCTGAAGAGCCTAACCGGTGTAGAAAGGTAAGAGAGAGAGGTACAAGGTTTAAGGGTTAGAGAGGAAGAAATGACACTCATTATTTATGAGTGATGTAATCATGCATATAGAAAATGTAAAAATATCAAAGACAACGATTAAGATTAAAATAATTTTTCCAGGTTTACAAACAAGCAATATTAGAATAAAAGAAAATGTAAAAAATATATAATTTATATAAAGCAGCAAGATCTCTTCACCAAACTATAAAAGCATTGGAAAAAAAATCAAAGATTTAAACAAAAGGAGAGCTATGCCATACTTATGTATTGAAAATATCAAGAGTCAATTCTCGAAATTTTTGTCAAAAGCTGATTCTAATCTTTTTCTCAAGATGGTGCTGTAAGCTAAATAGGAAGCTCCTGCCCCTCCCAAAGTTGAAGCCAGCAAAAGCTTTGAAGTCCAAGAAGCCAGTGTTGAAGGACCCTCATAGTCATGAAAAGAAGATCCGCATGTCACCTACCTTCCCATGGCCCAATTGCGGCCCTGGAGGCAACCCAAATATCCTTGGAAGAGAAACAAGCTTGACCACTATGCCATAATCAAGTTCCCCATGACCACTGAGTCAGCCACGAAGAGGATTGAAGACAACAACACACTGTGTTCATTGTGGTTGTCCAGGCCAACAAATACTAGATCAAACAAGCTGTAAAGAAGTTCTGTGACATTGATGTGGCCAAGGTTAACACGCTGATCAGGCCTGATGTAGAGAAGAAGGCATACATTTGACAGGCTCCTCATTATGCTGCTTTGGATGTTGCCAACAAAATTAGGATCACCTAAACAGAGTCCAGCTGTCAAATTATAAATTTATCCTTTTTGTTAAGATAAAAAATTTTAAAAAGCTAATTCTAAAGTGTATATGGAACTGCTTCCTGCCTACCATAAGGTAAGCACCCATCCTCCACCATGCCCTTCTGCCATATTCTGCCTCACTCAGGCTCAACTGACCATGGACTGAACCTCTGAAACTGTGGATCCCATCATTATGTATAATTATTATGCATCAATAAAAATAATACACTTCTTTCCTCCTCTGAGTTGTTCATATCAGGTATCTTTGTCACAGCACCAAAAAACTAACTAACCCAGGAATTGGTACTGAGAAGTGGAGTCATTGCTCTGACTCACCTGACCATGTTTCAAAGTCATTGGAACTGGTTTGTAGGAGGAGTTTGGAAAAGTGGGAAATGCAGGATTAGAATGTTATAATCAAAGCTAAGTGGGTGATTCTGGTAGGAGCTCAGGAGACCAGAATGCAGATAAGAATGCAGACAGGACTGTGCTTAGGCAGTTTCAGATGTGAAGGAGGATATTTTAGGGAATTGCACTAGAGTTAATTCATATTACATTCTGGCAAAAACTTACCTACATTTTGTCTTGAGACTTTGTGTGAGGTATGAATTAATCAGATTAGTGGTGAACTAATCTAACAAAATTTCAGGGCAGCACAACATTCAGGTTTTGGCATGATGTTGCTGAAAGCTTTTATCCAGGTGTTCTTTGAGACTAGGGAGCAAAAAGCAGAGAGGAAAGATTTGAAAAAAATTACAGTTTGGCCATAGAAGAAACATACCTAATATTGGGCCAAGGAAGGCATGATTTCTGAAGAGATTACGGCACTAAAGAGAAGTTAAGTATGTTGGATTAAGACAATAGGAAAGATTCCTTGAGGCCATCTCAGGAATCAACAAGACAACAAGACCATACCCACCTGCAGGTTCAAAGGTATAGAAGTGAAATCTCATTAAGAGACTTTGGGGGCACCCTGTTTACAAAGGGATGCCTAGAAAGTTGTTTCCCCAGGATTTGTTTCATGATGCTCAGCCACCCAGGCACTCAGAGGCCACTGCAGCCATGGTCCAAGGGGGCCTGGCTACTGCTCAAGCGGATGGCAGACCTTGATGTCATTCATATGCTGCTGGTTATTCATGAATGAAGGATGCTGGAGGTAAAGGGGTCATAAAGACTTCCAAAGATTTC